TTAAGTCACCAAGATCCCTATCCTTTAAAGGGGAATTTCCATTGTAATGTTATAGTTATTGGGGCATGGTCTGACCAAGTCACTAGCCCTATGTGTGCGCTTCGTACTTTTGGTATCATAAATGTGTGGATTAGAAATCGGTCTATCCTCGAGTATGAATTATAGACTTGAGAGTGGAAAGTATAATCCTTTTCTGATGGGTGCAGCATCCTCCAGATATCTATAAGTTCTGCATCATGTATGGTTTTCCTAACATGTGTTGCTGTGTTATAGCGATTTTGGGTAGTCGCTCGGGAGACTATAGCGTTGAATGATGTGTCTAAGACACCGTACAAAACGAAGTTTGTGTCTCCTCCTATTATCAGGTTTCCAAATGTATGTGTTAGAGTTAGAGAGATTATTTTATCCATGTATGTTACCTGGTTGTCATGTGGGCCATATACATTTAAGAGAGTGAAAGGTTCATTGTTTATCAGGCATTGGACTAATAGGTAGCGGACCTCTTTATCCACCATTTTTTTTTTGCAGCGAAAAGGCCGCATCTTTATTTATTAATATGGAAACGCCTCTCTTCTTTTTAACATACCCAACATGAAAACCTATTGGGAATTGTTTAGAGGAGAATTTGGGCATATTGGTGTGTTTCTTGGAAAAAGGCTATGCTGGCTTTTTGTTTTTTTGGCTTCAGTCAGTGCTAACCACCTTTTATGGGGAGAATTCAGCCCTTTGATATTGAGGGACATAATAGTTAAAGCCATTGGGTCAGGCCGGAGCCCTTATGTGTGACGTGTGTATATGGTAGGTTTGAAGGGTTACATACATGACCCCCCAACTGTGCTTGCCCCTTTTTGCTAGTATCTTTGCCACTGCCTCCATGTCTAGATGGGGGTATCCCATAGGAAGTGTAATGTAACTGGTGGTCAGTGGTATCAATTATAGGTCGTAGTAAGGGGTGTAATTCCATTTTCATATTCTGTGTGCATGCCTTGAAGATGTTTGTAGCATATTTGTAGCCAGTTAGGCCTAGACTCATGTTTGTAGTCACGTTACCATAATTCCCAATTTTGGGATATACATCCTAGTTCCTGCATGTTGTATGGTTGATCTGTGCATGGGAGAAAAAGCAAAAAGGGAAAGTGTGGGAAGTAAGATGCCTTATGGCAACTATATACAAAAAGGTGAACAGAACCAAAATGTCTGTCACCAAGTAAAGAAGGTACGGCCTTATAGAGCCATAATGGGGGAGGGGGAGTATTCAGTCATACAACTACATTCCACCTTTAGTATGTAGTTCTAAACGGTGTTATATTGCGTGTCGTGTAAGTTTCCTATACCAATTTACCTGTTAGTGTTTGTAACGGTAAAATATACCCATGTATAGCCTAATACATCTCCCATTCGTATAACCAGTTACATAACATATACTGAACATAACCATTTTAACATGTTTACGTATCCTTGTGGAGAAGGATCAAGATTTCCTGGATCACAAGCGACATGTTAATAATGTGCCAGTTCATCATTTATGTCTTGGTACAGTGATCCAGTCTTTGGAGATTTTTGTAGGCGGTCTGTGGGGCCCTTTTGGCATTTCAGCTTCTTCTTGTGGAGTGATGGTCAGGTTCCAATCCTTCAACAGCTGGGCTCCTTCAATAGTTGATGTTATGTCGTGTTCCACTCCATTTTTTCTAATGATAAGCTTCGTGGGGTATCCCCATTTATAGAGGATGTCTGCATCTCTTAACGCTTTGTTGATAGGTGCCAGCTCTTTGCGTTTAGCTAGCGTAGCTGCAGATAGATCTGTAAAGATCTTGATCTCAGCGTAATCTGTTGGCATCTTATCCAGGCTCCTCGCTGCTCGCATGATGTTTTCTGTTGATGTAAAGTAATGTACTCGAGTTAGTATGTCCCTGGGGGTGGAGGCCATATGGAATCTGGGCCGTGGTAGTCGGTGTACGTGGTCCAGGCAGAGATCTCGGTCCGTGAGTCCTGGGTGCAAAGCTTTGAACAGGCCCATTGCATATTTCCTCAAATCAGGAGGTTTGATGTCTTTTGATATCCCGCGCAGGCGGATATTGTTGCGCCTGTCACGATCTTCGTGATCTGCCACTTTTGCTGCCAGTGAGATTAATCTTACCTCAAAAGATTCAGAAGCTGCAGCTAAATTGTTGTGGGCCTCAATGATTTCCTCCGCTTTGTCCTCTAGTAGGGAGGTACGTTCACTTATGGCCTTAATATCCTCTCTGATATCACGGGCTAGTTTGGAGAACTCTGACTGTAGATTGTGCTGTAAATTTTGTAACATCCATTGTAGTGTTGTTTCAGATACAGGGTTTGTGTTTCCCATCGAGATGGAGGTGCAGTTGCTCTGATTGGAACATGCCGCTGGTGATGTCGGGCCATCTGCGCCATTTGGGAGCGCTGTCGCGGAGGTGTAAGTGCCGCGATTTGTATTGTTGTCGGGCATATTTTAGGTTTTTTGGCTGCTCGTTGTGTGTCTCTTGGATGCTATTATTGTGTCGGATGGTGCAGGTATCTCTCTACTATTTGCTGTGGTAAGTTCACCCTCGTCGGAGCTGACGGCTCACGCGTCCATTTTCGCAAGCTGTCAGGCCACGCCCCCGGTGTTGAGTATTTTTTTTTTCCAATGTGCATGTGTTTAACGGGTCATTTAATGCCCATAATATCCACATGCAGATAATGTGTTCAAATTCATTGATATCCATGTCTTGACCTATACAACTTTGGTGAGGGTTACACAGTTAGCAACATCAACTATTTGCAGCAGACACTGGTCTTTCAGCCACTATGAGAAAACCAATATGACAAGAGAGGAAAGGAGGAGACAGAAAAAGTGCATTTGTCTCCTCAGCTCCTCTCTGGGTATTTCAGAATCAGGAGACATGCTGAAATAATCACAGCAGTCACAAACTAGTCCATTGTAGAGAGGATATAAAATAACCAGTCCACATTAGTAACGTTCTACATTGGCTCCATTTATTTTATGATTATTTGGTAATTACAGTTCTTTTTGTCACCTAAACACAAATAATTTTGCTAGTCAGTAACTACATGTTTGTTTTGGTGATTACAAACCTTATATTTATGCATTTATTTTTAAATTTAAGTGCATGTTAAGACAGTTCTTTGTTTTTCCTTCATTCCGTTTATCAGATCAAAGAGTTTTTCACATAAAAGGGGCTCAATACATGCTCTGTCAGAGAGCTTTATTTCCTTGCCATCTGTAAAAGCGTAAAAAACAGGTATCAAATAAAGAAAGAGCACAATGTTTAAACATTGAATGAAATGGTTCTTAGGCAACTGAATTTATATTAACAAAAATAATTAAAATATTATCTGTTAAATATTTAAAAATCTATAGAGAATTTAAAGGAACACTATAGGGTTAGGAACACAAACATGTATTCTTGACCCTCTAGTGTTAAAACCACCATCTAGCCCCTCTGGCACCCCCTTGCCTCCCTAAATATAGTACAATCTTACTTTTATTTAAGTCTGGAGCTGCTGGCTCTGCCCCTGTCTGTATCTGAACTGCATCTGACCTCTGACATCATCAGAAGTGGTGGTCTGAGACAATCAGTGCCTCACCATAGGATTGGCTGAGATTGTCAAGGAGGCAGATCAGAGGCAGAGCTAACACAAGTCAAACACAGCAATGGCCAATCAACATCTCCTCATAGAGCTGGATTGAATCAATGCTTTTCTATGGCAAAAGTTCAGTTTCTGCATGCAGAGGGTCGAAACACTGAATGTTGTGATGCACAATAGGCAAGACTGCCCCAGGAAAAACCTCTAGTAGCCATCTGAGAAGTGGCAAGTGGAGATATCACTAGGCTGTCATATAAATACTGCATATAAATACTGGCACTGTTGTCAGATATTTAGAAAATAAATTGGATAGATACAATGCACACCCAGGCTCCTTCCTCTTTCTTTCTTTAGTAAAAAAAAATCTCACAATAATATTTTATTTAATGGGTGTGCAATGTCCATTTATGTTATACTTATGCATTCTCTTGTATTTTGTAGTTTTTTTTCTTCCATCTATTGTATTATGTTTTTGTACTCCATAAACAAAAACCTTGAAATAAAAAGAAACGTGAAGAAAAAAAAAGAAAAAGTAATTGAATTGAAATTGGCACTTTTTAAATACACCGTGTTACACTCACTTGGCTGTCAAACAACTGGATCTTGTTACTTCCTGCTTTGTTAAGCTCAATGCAGCTGGACAAACCAGGCAGAAAAATGCTTAGAGTACCTTCTTTGCAAAGACTTCTCACTGAACTGCATTGGGAAGTCTGTGATTGGACAGCCACAAAAGTCTGGGCTGGATTAGAAGGGGAGGGCTTGCACAGTCTGCAGACAAGGAATCTGCAGCTTTTGCAAGCTGTTTTTAGATATACCCCCAAGGAAATACAAATGCATTAATAAATGTATGCATGTTTTCAACATTATTTATTTAATTAGGCAGGGGAGTGTCTCAGTTTTTCTCCTGTTAATAAACAAGTTTTTTTTTTTAATTTTATGTTTTAATGCAAGTTACATATTCCTTTAAAGTATTTCTCCTTAATATGTATTTACTCCATCACTTTTACTTTTTTCTGTTTATTTTTTCATTCCCTCCTCATCTTCTGTTCCTCCTGTTTGTAGGGTTGTTCAAAACTTGCAGGATTGCTCAACTAAAGTAGTGATGCTCAACTTCCAATATTGTATTACTGTTATAGGAAGCACAATCTTACACAAAACATGTTTTTTTTGTCTTTTGTTTTTGAATGTATATTCTTTACTCCTCCACCTGTCTATATGAATGTGATAAAAAAAATGTTTTTAAATGTTTTTATCCTGTGATCATTAGATTACTAGCAATAGACCTCTGGATCTGTCTACATCTACACGTCTCTTCACAGACAGATTTTGTAGTGAACACAAGAAAAATACTTTTAAATTACATTTGTTACAATGCAATCTGTATAAATTACCTTTTCCAAGTATTGTACCCACAAAGGTGGAGCACAGGTCTTCTTTATGCCTGCACACTATGTTAGTTTCTGGAACACATTCCTCATTGTAGTTATATTTTAAGCAGGTTGGACAAGTTTTTCCTTCAAATGTTTCACTCTCCTTTGGAACTGTGAGTAAAGAGAAATGATAAAGTACAATTCTTTACATCATCCTACAGCTTCTTCTTTACAAACTGCATTAGCTAGCAGCAAAGAAGCTTTGATTTTTGTATATTATGACAGATGTTTGCACCTCCAAATTTATGTCCAGTGTCTAAAACTGTGTGAATATTACACAAGTATTCTGCCTCAATCTTTAAGGCGAGTTAAGAGTGGTATAAATAAATGCCAGAAAACAGGGGGAAAAGGTATACCATATTTTTCCTTTCCTCTTCATAGGCCATGGCAGCTCAACAATGGATTAGTTCTTCCCATCCAAGGTAGACAGGAACCTAATTCAAAATAAATATACAAATACCCCCTCCTACCTTCTGCCATGGCCTTTGACCAGAAAATTACGATAAGTATGAATACATACATGAATACATTTTACCCAAGCATAGACTAAGGAAGGGAAAGAAATTACACAACAGTAGAATAATGCAAAGGCCAAAATGTCTATTGAAAACAAATGTGAATACAAAATATATTTCAAACTGAAAGATCACTCTTGCCAAAAGGATCATGCTGAAATTATTTCAATTTGGTAAGCGTAAGTTATAGCTTATATCCCTCAACGCACCGTGATCAAGGGGTCTACATCTGGATTACCCTTTAAACTACAGAGAGCAAAAAAACAAGTTGCAAAAGAGTACTGAGAAGTAAAACCAGCTGAAGATCTGAGCTCTCCATAAGTTTAAAGGGTAATCCAGATGTGGACCCCTTGCTCATGGAGCCTAGAGGGATATTGGTTGTAACTCAATGACAATGCCTAACAAGGTTGAAACAATTGTCTGGGGTTGCTGTATCTTATGTGCAGAGACAACAGGTCTGCATTTTGGGTCTGTTCTGCCCTTTTGGGTGGGTTCAGTCTGATATGCAAATGGCCTGGTTCTCTTTGTAATGGCACAAGAGTGACGAAAACCAGCTTGAGATCTGAGCCGGGACCCACTGAAGGGCAGGCTATTTGAGCTGTTGTCCATTCTCAGTATTCTCTTGTGCCTTGTTTTGTACTCTCCCTAAGGATTATGTCTTCATTCAAAGGATATGAAGATGTAACCTTGGGTCTGAATTCTGGTATTGTCCTTACGGTAACTTTGTCTTCATGAAAAAGCACTGCTGTGAGAAATCTCAATATGTCGATGTCAAATGCCCATTTGAAATTAGTGGGAGCCGAAAATGCTGAATCATTCAAGGATATCCTTAGTACATGGGTTATGCAAGCACCCCATACTTGACAATAGATGGATGATATACAATAGATGGATGATATACAATGTTTTATGGATTGCATCCATATGTATTAAACTTCTGGAGAGAATCGTTTGTTGTTTAACCTTTATGTTTTTAACTTTCATGCCCTGAAACTTTCAGGGTCTTGCCTGAGGTGGGAGTCTGAAGCACAGAGATGATTGCTCACCCTTGCAGATAAACACAGTCCAAGGTGACCAGGTAAGAAGCCACCAAGACTTTGAATCTGTGCATGGGGGTTGTGCAGGAAAGGTGCTTCAATACTCAGTACAGACAAGGTCACAAGCAGAAGGATAGTCAAGGTGTAGAATAAGTCAGAGGATGCCAGAGGTCAGGATAAATGAGAAGTAGCCAAAGTCAAGGGATGTTTGTTACTCAGTATAATGCCCATGCTTTTAAGATTGAAAATATTCTACAGAAATACTGGCCACTTTTATTGGAAGATTCAAATTTCAATAGCGTCTAAGATTATTTTTTATAAAAAGTAGAAATTTTAACAATTTATTAGGTCAAAGTACTTTTAGAATTAAAGAAACTAAATCCACTACTTTGAAGGGCTTCCATAAGTGTGGGAGATACAAAGGTTGCAGGTTCTTACCAAAAAAAACAAAAAACAAACAAACTAAGTTTTAAGAGTAAAAAAACAGGAGAACGTTTTGAGATAAAATAATACATTAATTGTAACAGTACCGATGTAGTTTATCTGCTAACATGTGGGTGTGGTATTCAATATGTGGGCATGACAAGTAGAGCTCTGAAAATTAGATTTATGGAGCACTGTAACAATATAACAATATTGTTAATATAAAGAAAAAAAAGTATCTGTCCATTGTAATAATTTTCCCGATTTTAATTTTGAAACTTTTTTATGCACAGGTTTGGAGAGAGTAACCCTGGACTACAGACGTGGTAATTTGATCAGAAGACTTATACAAAGAGAAGGCTTTTGGATTTTTAATTTAAAGACCTAGGTTTTAAGGTGGACTTTGACATGGGATGTTTATTTATAATCTTATAATCATAATTGTATTATTATGAGATTTTTTTATTTTATGCCATGATTGTTTGGTCCACATTTCACTTTTTTGTCGGTACTGCAGTTTACAATTTCATCCTCTGGGGTTCCTCTCCTTGAGTAGTATCTTTCACAGCTCATACATTTTTAATATCCTTTCCAGATGTATTTTGATCACCCTTTAAGTATATGTGTTTTGGACACATTTTTAATATTGATATTCTCAACCCCTTAAGGATGGCGGGCGTGCTATGCTGTCCTTAAGGAACCGGCTCTAAACGCCTTGCGAGGACCTCATGATCACATGGACGACATTGCTGTACAAGGAATTGCCAGCAGGGTGAGTGCCTGTAATGACAGGTATTCCCCCTGCTGCATGAAAATAAAAATAAAGGTTTAAAACAGTGTAAAATTAAATAATAATACTTAGATCATATATATATATATATATATTATATATATATATATATATATATATATATGACCTAAGTATATATATATATATATATATATATATATATATACACACACACACACTTTCTAAGTGTGTTATAATATATATATATATATATATATATATACACATTATATATATATATATATATATATATATATATATATATATATATATACACACACACACACACACACACTTTCTAAGTGTGTTTTAATATTAATATAAATATATATATATATATTAATATCAAAGTACATGTACAATGATATTGATTAAATATATATATAATTATCATTATATATATATTTATATATAATATAAAATAAATATGTAAATACGTAAAAAAATAAATAAAAAAAATTAAAAATAAATAACTAAAAAAAAAATATATATATATATGTAATTTCGTTCCATTTGATAGGTGATAAAAAAAAATACTAGAAGTGAGAAGTATGAATAAAAAATTCATTTTATTTGATAGGTGACACAAATCTGGACAAAAAAATACTAGAAGTGAGAAGTATAAATAAAAAATTGCTATCAGAAGCAAAAAGATTTAAACATTGGTTAAAGAATTATGATTTAATCGATATATGGAAAACTATAAACCCAGAATTTTTTTTAATGTTTTATTCTATACCCTTTAAATCCTATTCACATATAGTAAAAACCAAAGAAAAGAAAGTTACCTGCTCTCTCTCCTTAATCCCTATGTATATTTAGACAAATGGAGGTCATTTAGTTATAGACTTATCTTTTTGTAAACTATATATTGGGGCTGATGTGTACTGTAGTCATTGCTGCCGGCCTAGTAGTGATGGGTTTACTATATATTGGGTTTGCCTATTCTACAATTATACATCCAAAAAAAAAGCCAAAGAAAGTCCATCTCCTAAAGGTTTGAATAAATGTAAAAAATTAGAGATCAAATATAACATAAAGTTGTAGGAAGAATGAATTTAAACCACCTGTGTCTAAAACAAAAAATGGAATAGCCAAGGAAATAGGGCTAATAGAATGATGTCCAACAAGCTAAAAAAAACAAAAGAAAAAATATAAAAAAGATAAAATAACAGAAAAACTGAAAGATGATACTGGACCCAGTAAAAATAGGTGTTTCCTTTTTAGATTTTTATAAAAAATTATATCATTTAGGAAAAAATTGTGATCTATCAGAAGCATGAGAAAAAAATAAAAACATTTGGAGAATTTTAATAGTTATAATATATCTGATATTGATTATGAAATCTTAAATACTCCAATAACTTTGCAAGAAATTTCAAATGTGAATCAAAACCGGCTCCGGATGGATTTTGAAACATTTTTTATAAAGTTTTGGAATAGGATCTGGAAAACTATTGGATCTATTTAGGGAAATTGGAGAAGGGAAATGCCAAAATAGATATTACTAGCAAACATCTTGAAGCCTGTTAAAGCTAAAACATTAATTAACAATTTTAGACCAATCTTTCTTATAAACGTAGATACAAACATATATTCATTGGTGTGGGCAAATAAAAAGGGTTATCCACAAGTTAATAAACAAAGATCAATCAGGTTTTATCCCAAAAAGAAAAGCAGATGATAACATAAGAAAAATAATGGACATAATGTTTTCGGCCCATAGCCAAAAGAGATCCTTTCTGACCCTATCATTAGACACTGAGAAGGCCTTTGACGGGGTCAGTTGGGTATTTCTAGAATAAACGTTAAAGAAAGTAAATTTGGGGGAGGTATTTTTATATAAAAATCTGCAGGCCTGTATCTTAGGTTCAGGAATAAGATCTACCTGGTTCAAAATTTATAATACCAGACAAGGGTGCCCATTGGCTCCAATGTTATACACAATCTCATTGGAACCATTTGTTCAAACAATTAGGGACAACCAAGGGATAAAAGGCTTCAGAGTGGGAGAAAGTGAATTTATATTATCAATGTTCGCTGATGACAATTTTTTTAACTTTAGGAGATCCAACATTATCAATAAGGGAACTTATGAAGGAGATTCAGGACTTTTCTGAAATATCATTCTATAAATTAAATATTGATACGTGCCAAGCATTAATGGGAAATTTAAAGGAGGGTAATAAAAAAGATATTCAAGAAACATATAGATTTCAATGGAAAGAGAAAACAATGGACTATCTAAATTGCTTTTTCAATAAAGGAAATAATTGAATTTAATTAATTATAAATCCTTGTTACATAAATTTAAAAATAAATTAAAAGAATGGTTTGGGTCTTCCA